TACGAAATAAAAATCCTCCATGTTAGAAACATTAATATCATTTTCCTCACAAACTTTTGTACATGAAGAAACTAGTCATCAAAGTCATCATCTCTAAACATTAAAAGAAAATAAGATAAAATAATTTTAAATTATGGAAAAATATCAAGAATTGAAAAAAATAATAACAAACATCAACCTTTTGTTTTTCTTTAGTCTTAAACAAATGAGAGAGAGAAGAGAAAATTGAAATGGTGGGATGGTTTCTTTGAGAAATCATGTTTAATCAACTAAACCATGGTGCGATTGGAAAAGAAGCCCACATCAGTAAAATTAGAAAATAAAGAAGAAACTAAGGGCCTGTTTGTTTGGTTTTATTAAGTTTCACTTGACTAGACTGAACTAACTCTTAATGTAGTCCAACGTTTGTTGTCACAAGGGACTAATATTAATGAGATTAGTTGGAACTATGCCCAGACTAACGGCATCGCTAGCAGTTCTTAGCAAAGGTCCCTGAAAACCACAGGACTAGCTAAAACCTGCTTCATCATGCTCTCGTTGCTCTGCTGGTGTCCTTTCTGCAACCACATCTTCATCTTCTCTGCGACCACAACTTCATCTTCTATGCAACCATAAAGTCCTCTCTCTACACACATCTGCACATCTTCGCAAATCTGCTCGAATCACAAAACTCAGATTTGTTGAGATTGCGAAACCCATATTCGAATTGCAAACCCAGACCCGAATTGTAAATCCCAGATTCGAATTGCAAAACCAAGTTTGTTTTAAGCTCTGCAAAACCCATATTTGATAGGAAAATTTTGTGGCCTCAAATTCAAAAGGAAATAACTAAAACTAAGGGTGCTTTGCAAACCAAATTCCTTCTGCAACTTTCGAGAGAGAGATATAGGTTCTAGATAGGGAAATTTTTGGGCATGATCTCTTTTTTTTATTATATATATATATATATATATATATTTTTTTTTTTTTTGATCCATTTGGTGCACAATTATATATTCCTTTGTTTTCGAGAGAAGGAATGGAGTTGTCTAGAAAAAGGAGAAAGAAAAATAAAAAGACAAGGGGAAAAAAAAAGAGAACTATTTTTTATTATTTAATTATTTTGTTTATTAGTCCGACTTTGCACCAAACGCTACACTAAATTAGTCCAGTTTAGTCTAGTCTAAGCTAGTCTAGCTTAGTCTCTTAACCTAGTCTAGTCTAAGATAGTCCGGCGTAACAAACGCACCTTAAAGGAGCCAACCACCAAACCACACCGTTTCATTTAAAGGAAAAGAGTTATAACTAATAGCACAAAACAAAGTAAACGACGCCGTTTGGTTTTAAGTCGTCTTCTTCCCTTGAAAACATTAAAACCCAGTAGCACATGCACCAACCCCAAATACCAGCAGGTTCATAAGATTGGAGGGGCAGAATCTTCACTCTCAATGACCATTTCCCACGACCGGAAGGGCAGCCCCCCCTCCTTACTCCTATGTAGCTTCGCCACTGCATGCACCTAGTAGGTGTTAGGTTTCATCATAAAGGGCCTTTCACATTATGAGTGTAATAATTCATTTAAGTTGTAATTTATTATGTCAACACTGCCCTTCATGTGGGACCACGTCTTTCATGGGTCGCATGTGCAACTGATTCCACATCCGTAAGATCTTTTAAGTAATTAACGGAAGATTCTTCGTCAAGCTAAGGTCTTATTCACAATTGAAATGGTCGCGGTTATGGTCCTGCTCACAATTGGAATGGTCGTCAGGTTCAGGTCAAAGTGAACCACTCTGATACCATATGATGTCAAGACTTCAGTATCAAGTCAATGGTCTATTACTAATCACACTGATATGTCCTAACCATCGACATAGTCCGACAATTATTAGGTTTTATTACGAAAATGATGGGAACAATACCATATTAATTGTAATATATCCTGTGAAGTTTCTAATGTGAAATTACGTTCTTCAACACAACCTTCACACACTATTCTTCACCCTTCTTTTGGGTATGTATTTCCCCTCTGTCACATTATCACTAACATAAAAAGTAAAAACCAAAAGATAAAAACAAAGTAGTTATCGCCTAAATGTTTCATTTCCAACACAATTCTTCATTCAAGTGTGACCCATGATTGACATTATAAGACCCATTTATAACTCTGGTGATGACTGATGAGTATTTGCAAATTACGCATGCACTCAAGTCAAGTGAGATGACTAAACAGTACGAGCAGTCCCTTTTTATTAGGTCTTCTCAGCCATCAAAATTGCTTGTGAGGTGTAACGAGAGGAGATATTACTGTGGATGACGATGACAGTTTATATATATTAGGTGTGCTACTGCAGATTGAGTGCAGACACCCCCCCACCCCCCCAAAAAAAAAAAAAAAAAAAAAAAAACCCTGGAATCATGTGAGTCGTTCGTGGTTGAGCCAAAGAGCTTTTTAGGGTTTTGGAGCATGGGGACGCGACGACAGAGGCGGTTGTTTTTTGAACGTGAAGTGGGTTGGTCAAGAAAACCACTTTATTAGACTCACCAACCAACCATATACAACTACCGTTGGTACTGCCATGCACTAATTTTGAAACTTTTGAAGCCTATTTTGTAATAATAATTAAATTTTCTGCTCAACTGATTTGAGTACCACCCTCTTCCTAAGCCCATCAAAGTGACCATGTATCAAATGTAAGACACTAGCTTAAGATAATATACAAATGTATTTGAGTATGTTTAAAATTTAAAAATACTAATAAGGTTGACAAGTGATGAATGATTTGAGGTATAGCATATAATTTGACCTAATTAAAATTTAAAAAATTGCCATAGAATGACCTTTTTGGTTTTGGTTTACGACTGTATTTTCACCCCAAGCATGTCCACCATTTAAAAAAAAAAAAAACGAAGTTACAACGAAACTATTTTTTATTTGAATGTGAGCATCCGTCTCAAAATTAATTAGCAATAGATAACTCGGTCTAACATCTTTCAGTACGTTAGACTTCTGGATCATTCTATGTGGGTTAGCTCAACACGAACTTCCGTTTGTCATGCCATCTGGTGTTTCTATATCATCATAAGGACAAAGATCAAGAAAGGAAAAACCTAGCAATAAAAAGTAAAAAACCCTAGTTCGAATATATTTAGGAAAAGTCTTGGCTCATCAAGAATTTATGAGAAACTCCTCCTCAAGATACCTTGTGATTAATTTACGGAATGTCATGCTTATGATCAAAACCGATCATACCATTAATCACTATCTAAAGATCATTTCTAAAAAAAGATTGCTTAATTATTGAATAGTATAAAACCAATTCGTCAGTATCAGTAGAAGTATTATGAATTGTCTATCTATTTACAATAATTGACTGACTAAACAACTTTAGTTTTAATTGATTTTTTGCTTAGATAATCTTTATAGAATGATTTATAATATAACCGGTTTCGATTATAAGTGTGAAATTTCATGAATCGGTCACAAAGTATCTCAAGGAGGAACTTATTCTCAATCTTAAGGAGCCAAACTCTATCCACATATTTAAATGAAACATTTTAAAGAAAGAAACAAAAACTATAGAAAAAGTAGAGGAAGTATATAAAATAAAAAAGGCCATAACATTACTAATAAAGAGAAATAACGCTAAATGACGTTAGTACTAAGTGATTATAGTATTATATTTTTGAATTCCCTGCATGAAAAGGTAAACAAAGCTCACAGATAAGAGAGATTTTTCAATGTGTTCAGTACACGAGATGGTACATCACGTGTCATTATACAAATAGTGTGATATGTGTGCTAAAATGTTAATAACTTAAAAAATAAAATTTCCCACTACTTATATTAAAACACATTTATGTACCACTTATGTTTCCGTCACAATTAAAATTTTCTCTACAGATAAGATTAAATTAGTCAATAATTGGATAATGATTAAAAGAGTAAGGAGATAATCAAAGTAAGGAAGTGCACGTGGAAGAGCGGTAACACCTAGATTGAAAAGATTCCCTTAGCTCTTTGTGTTCACACCTACTTTAATGGGTAGATCCCATCCAAAATCCTTTTCACACCTGATTTTCTCATTTAGTTTGGTGGCAGTTCAAGCTCATGATTATTACAGGTAACATAGCATGCTAATTATACTTGATATTTATATGGTAACATTTTACTACTATGGAAAGTTTTTGAAATGTAAAATGAACTTATACTTCTTTCTTAATTTTTCATATCAATTAAATTTCAAGTGATTTGTTATATCAAGTTTGGAAAATCATTATTTGGTCATATGACAGATTTGATTGTTAAATCTAACCTTTACAATCTAGCTAATTGATGTACGTTTTAATTGAAGTTTAACTAATATATTAGCGATGTTGCCACAATTGTTAAAATTGACTCTTAAAATAAATATTAGCAATATTGCCGACGTGCGCAAGATAAGCCGATGAATAAGATTAATCTTATCTTTGACTTATTTAAGAAAAAAATAAATCAGAATCAAACTCTTATCGTGCAATAAGTAAATGACAAATATAACAAATGATCTACCAATTGAACTAAACGCTCTCCCCATTCTTATCTCTGATAATGCCAAATGAATTGCACCATAATTTTGATCTACTTTTGTAAGTAAATACATTCTATTGTTTGTTATGAGTGAGCTATCCACACATTCAATTTTACTTCTCATATATCTTATTTAATTTTCGATTATTAGATCGATGAATTTAAAAATTTCAACGAACTTAAATTAACAAAAAAAACAAATAAATACGGGTGTGAATAGCATCACTCGTTTGTTATTAATTGACGCGGATTGGTGATCGTATCAGCCTATATCTTTCAGTTGGAACGGATCCCAAAAAAGGACCCACGTCCGATGGATGATGATGCTGAAGAGGTCAAACTCCCACTACTAGCCACGTAGGACATGTCATCCGACGTGGCAACAAATTAGGTTTGACTCTCCTCTCATAAAACTTTTCCATTTTCCCATTACCTTACCACCTTCCCCCTCACGACGCTGTTAATAATTAATTTCCCTCTCCAATCCTCACCCCCTTGCGGTGTATATATAACACAAACTACATCTCTGCATTTGCTCTCCAATATTATTCCGTTCATACAAAAGAAAAACAAGGAAAAGATGGGAAATTGCATGAGGCATGATTCGTCCATGAAATGGGCAGGAGATGATTGGGGTTGTCTAGCAGATGGAATGAAGGGTGACGATTATCGCGATCAAACGGACGTAAAGATCATGAAGAAGAACAACAAGAAGATTGCAGAAGCAAGCCAGATGGATTCATTTTGTTCTACAACAACAGCAACAACAAGTAGTAGTAGTAAAGTTGGTGCAGCAACAGAGGTGAAGATCAAGATCACAAAGAAGCAGTTGGAGGAGTTGTTGGGTAAGGTGGAGTATAAGCAAATGTCAGCTCAGCAGGTTTTGGCTCAGCTGATTAGGGTTAGCGATGGCTTTGAGACCCAGTTGCAAAGGTCTTGGAGGCCTGCTCTTCAAAGCATTCCTGAGGTCAATTAATTTTTCCTTTTCTATATATATCGGGTTTTTGTTGTTAATATGGGGAAGAGTAATTAGCTTTCTAAACATATTTTGTTCAATATTAATGTACATACTCTAGAGTTCAGAAAGAAAAGAAAAGCCCCAAATTTTGTTTTGCCTCTCTCTAGATCTCTCTCTCTCTTGGTGACACAGGGAGGAGGGTGGCCCCAGTCCGCTCTTCTCAAGCTCTACCTCAATATGGAAGAGTCACTTACATGCAACGAGTTCATTATTATTAGGGTCATCGGATCTAATAATACAATATTTAAAGAAAACTTACACATAACATTGAATTATTATATCAAAACACCACAATGAGGGTGAACTCATTCATTGTAAATCATTCTCATCCCTAGATATAGCTATAATTACTTTTCTAGTCATTTTATTTTAAGAAAGAGCCTCCTCTTAATTATAAAAGGGACCCAACAACTACCTTTGCTACAAGAGCTGGTGGCTGCGACCTGTGAGTATTTTCTTAATGTGGTAAAGCTCCTCAACAGATTGGTAAAGATAAAACCCAAAAAAAGATTAAAGAAGCTTGTTTAAAACGAAGAGTACCAAACGGCCCAAGATGATCCCCAACACCAAGTATATGGTTCCTTATCAAACCTATTACTAAACTTGTACAACGAAAACACTAATTTGATTAAGAAACAACAATGCTCTTGTAGCAAAGGTAGTTGTTGGGTCCCTTTTATAATTAAGAGGAGCCTCTTTTATATAATGAAACGGTTAGAAATGAATCTAATCTTACATTGAATGGGTTCACAATCGTTTAATGTGAAAAAACTTTCTTTAGCTTATTGACCTCAAGTTTTATTTAACGTATAAGCTTTGTTGATTGTTTTTAGACAAAGATGCTCCTCAAGCTCGACACTTGCCAAATGGTATGTGTTGCTAGATATGTAAAGAGCCACATAAGATAAATTAGTTTCAACAGACTCAATTAACAAAATTATTAAAGATTCTAACCAAAACGATTCCTGAGATTGACATAACTCCTCATTTTGCTATGTGACAATGAAATCAATAGAAATGGTCTCTAAGTTTGTCCATCGTAAATCATTTTGGTTATTCCATGAAAATCTATTAATATTCTTGTAAAGGATAGGAGTCGGTTTGACAAAAATACGTTGAAAAAGGTGATCCCAATGATTGCTCCCATGACAATTTAACGAGGATATTAACAAAAAATTTCACGGAAGGACCAAATCGATTTACAATAGACAAACTCATGAACTTCTATCGATTTTCATTATAAATTATTAAAGTGTAGAGTTATGTCAATCTCATAGATCATTTGAGATAAAAAAAAATCTTTATTAAATTTGGGATCTTGAGTTCACTCTCTATATCTATGGACTCGACACCACCCACAAATACTCCTTTTATTATATTAATGTGTCTTGTCCACAATCTCCTTCATTTATCCAATAACAAAAAATAAACATGGGACCAACTTGCCTCATATTGGATGGGAAATAATATTATAATTCAACTTATGAATTTATTAGATTCCTGTTGTAAATAGTGGGTATGTTTGCTCACATGTGTATAGTAATATGTATAGTAAATACTCACATGCATATATAGTAAGCCTTTCACTATGTTGCTTGTGATTTGCTTCTATAAAAGCAAGTCTTATGGAACAAAAAAAAAAAATGAAATTGAGAGGTTCATGGGAGAGATAGGAAGGAAGAAAGGAAGAGAGAAAAGAGAGGAAGAGGAGAAGAGATAATAGAGAGAGTTATCTTTGTACTCTTATTATTTCATATTATAATGAAAGCACCATTGCTGCCCCGATGACGTACTCCAGTCACACTGACTGTAGAGGAACCTCGTAAATTTTGTGTCTTATTTATTTATTCCACTGCACACGCCGTCGATTTTACAACACATTATCAGCACGAGAAGCTCTCATGTTAGTGGAAAGCACACGCCATAAATCCGGTGAAACATTACTTACCTCCTACCTCTGCTAGCCAAAAATCTCACAGAATAAAAGGTATGTCCATTTTTCGTCTTTCCCACCACGCCAGAAGCGCCCCATCGAATTCCGATGCGAATTGAAATTTACAATGACCTGAAGTCGTCACGAGATAAGAAAACTCGTACCTGACAATTGGTTTCCAAAGATCCAGAAGAATCTCATCAGACTTGGAAACCCAGATCGCGTCATTCTCGACGGATCTCGATGACTCACAATAATTCTAGCCTTGAGTTTTACACTGCTCAGCCTGGCACCCATGGCCACCGTCTTTTGATGGCGTTGTAGTCCTCTGAAATAAGGCTTGGTGTTTCAGACCCTATAATTCTCTCTCTGTTTGAATTAAGCTTGAAAATCCTCAGAGCTCTCTGTTACCTACAAGAAGTTGAAAGATAATTAAGTAGGATGGTTTCTGCTCAGGGCAAAGAAAAGACAGCGCCATGAAGCTCTAGAAGAGTTCCTTTGATGTGTTGGAATTGTGCACAAAAAAGAATAAAAAAGGAAATGGGGCCAAAGATTTGGAAAGGTGCGTTGCACCATGTAAAATGAAAGAAAAAGGCAAAGTTTTTTTTTTTGGAATGGTGTAGAATGTGAATGAATAAGAAAAATAATAATAAAAAAAGGGTAAAGGTTTTTGGATGGTGTTACACCATCTGAAAAGAAAGAAGAAAAAATATATATATTTATGTGAATGGTGTTGGCTTAAAACACTTTCACAAGTTCTATTTATTTAAAGCAATTTATTTACAGTGGGTAGAATTATTACCCTTTGTTTTAAAGCTTTGATATTTATGTGCATGGTGTTGGTTTAAAGCCCATGTCACAAGTTCTATTTACTTTTGTTTATACCATACTTAGGGCCTCCGTATTTAGACCTCGTATAAATACTTGGGGGGACTCAAATGTAATTATGTAATAAATGGATGGGAAATATGTAATAAGTAAGGAGCCCTTATTCTATAAAATGACCCATCACTCTCCTCATTAAGAGGGCCTCACTCTCACCCTCAGAGGCCATTTCTTAAGCCTCTCACATCCCCTAAGCTCTAAGCTCTCTCAAAGCTCACACTTTCATATTCAGAGCTCTCTCCCTTTCAGAAATACAATATCAATGTGGACGTAGCCCAAACCTTGGGGTGAACCACGATACATCTTGTGTTATTTACATTTCTTGTAGATACACGGTCGGATTTACGTTGTTCCAAGACCCTTTCGGTTTTGTGCATCAACATTTGGCGCCGTCTGTGGGAATCGACACAAAAAAACTATGTCGGTTCTCTTTCATTTTTTCATTAAACCTCACCACTGTGAATCTGCAAAAACCCAACAACCCAAAGCATTTCAACGCAGAGCATAACCTTACCAAAACGCCTTCATTTTATAAAAGCTGATCGCCAATTCCTCGCTTTTCGAGCTTTTCATTTCTCCCTTTTACATTTTTCAATTCTCCAGAGCTTCCATGGCTTCGGTATCTGCATCAAACGTCGTCGCTTTAAAATCCGCCGTTAAATTCGGAGCTACCACCGACGGCAGGGCCTGCCATTTCAAGCAATGGGCTCCGATTGGGCCTACCAGTTTAAAGTAAGAAGCAGAAGATTATGTTTGCCCTGACCTCCAACAAAGGTATCGGCCGCCGTTTCGCTAACATTGTCTGCAAGAAGGCAGACGTCGACATGAACAACACCTTTGCTTCCTCTTAGCCCATAGGTCTCTCTTTCTCTCTCTCGCTCTTTCTCTTACCAATCGACTGAGCAGCGGCAGCCCCAAATCTCGACCAATCCAATGGCCTCCGTAAGAAGGAAATTGCCAATCCAAAGCTTGGGTTTCTTGGGAAATCGCCATTTTCTGCCAAACGCACTATGTGTTTCCTGTTCGGTGTGGATTTGAAGAAGATTTGTGAAGTTGCTATGATTTCATGTTGTTTCTGAAGAGAAGAGAAAGCTACTGGTTTCAGTAAAATGCAGCAGCTCAGGCGTTTTTAGAAGTTCAAAAGATGAAGTCTTTAACAAGAAAAATGGAGAATTTGCAGAAGAAAAGAACTGGGTCCGTCAAGTCTTTAGCTAACAATGGCGGCGGAGGAAGCGAGTCGCTCACCGATTTGAGTAGCGGTTACTCGAGAGAGACTAGCAATACGAGCCAATCGAGCTCCGAGACTCCCGGTGAGGAACTGAAGCGAAAAAAACGATCTTCGCCGCCGATGCTGGGCTGGCCGATCAGGAAAGCTGAGCTATGTAAAAACTCGACTGCTGATTTGGAGGAAGCAATCTACCCACCATTGGATACAAACCGGCCACAAGAACACCACGGAGTATACTTGGGTTCCTTTCATTCAAGCTACATCTTGATACATCCTCGGGAATAAACCCATGCCGATTAGCTCTTTTTGGAGCTGCCCATGCATACCAGATAGCATGTGCATCGTGCTTGAAGACACAAAGTATCGAGAATATAAACCTCTCTCTTCACCCTTTTCTTTTGCAGCATTCCATCGATCAAAGTTATGTTGAATGGACTGAAAGCAATTTGTTCTCCACCTTTAAGGAGCAATTAGCATCTGGCGCAACAACTGTTGAATCAAGAGTGCATGTAGATAACAAGTTATGACTCATGAATCATGGAGTGCAAGAAAAAGAAAATGGAGGCTTTCCTCACATGCCATCCCACTACAAGGTCCTAACAGCAACAAAACAAGTCTGCAAAAGCAAAAGCAAGTCTGCCAGAGAGGGTGGAGGTGGATAGAGAAAGAGATGCAGTGGAAAGCAAAAAGGAAAAGAGAAAAGAAATCTTTAGTTGAAAGCCGAAGCAATTCAATAATAGCAGTTGGTGCTTTCTTTATTTTGTCGACCACACACAGGAAAGCTATGGAGGGCAGGCACGTAAATCTGCAAAAGTAAGGAAAAAACACCCACACTGCAAAAGCAAGGAATAAACATCCCACCAGAATGATGTGATTTACTTTTCTTGTTTTTGAATGATGTTATTTATTTTTCTTATCTTTCAAAGACATCTGTATAAACCCCGTCAGATGGTTAAAAAAAATAAAAAAAGGGCAAGCCCAAAATAATGGGCTGGAATGTTATGTGGAGGATCAAGGCCCATATGCCCAAAAGAGCCAAGCCCTATGACTCCATAATTAT